TGAAAAATGAGAAAACATTCGTTGACCAGCAGTGTGTAAACAAACAAAATGATCGAGTTTACTTGCCAAAGAGGTCAGCTGAAAATGTGCACCTTCGGTTGGCCACCAGAACTCAAGAGCCTGCCATGGTTATGGTGTGGGCCGCCATAACAGCAGATGGTCGCTCTCCGCTCGTATTAAACGACCATGGTGTCAGAATAAATGCCGAATATTATAGCGAAAATATTCTGGAGGGTGTATTAAAACCTTTTTGGCCGCAGACCGTGGACATTCCAACAGGACTCTGCACCATTGTACTCAAAATCCGCCACCCAAGAATGGTTACAAAATGAGGTTCGTCGCTTCATTTCCAGCGCCTAAAATCTCCGGGAACCAATTCGTTGGACTATTGTGTCTGGAGCATTTTGGAAAGCAAGGTTGGCACTAAATAATAGCAAAGTATCGATCACCTCAAGCAAGCGCTTCGCCGGGAATGGGACAAAAAACCGCAGAGCAACATTCAAGCAGAGTGAAACGGTTTCATTGGCCGTTTGAAGGCCATAATTCGTGCCAAAGGTGACCAATTCGAACAAATCTAAACTTGTTCTAAGATTTGATGCTATTTCCGACATTATTAGCTTTCATTCATAAAATTTAAAAAAAAAATGTGTTGATGTTTTTTTAAAAGTTTTCTCCGCTATAAACGAATCGGTTATTTTTTTAAATATTTAAAGATTTTTCCCAACAATAAACTGATTTTTTTAGCAATGTCTCTCAAAGTATTTTCTGGTCTAATAAATTGCGGATTTTCTAAATATTTATTTATTGTTTCCCCAAATGAATGTATTAAAGACGTGTACATAGTTTTCGGGCCATATATAGATTTTGGATTTTAAAACATATTCGTTATAAGTCGATTTTTCAAAGACTTTCTGTCCAAACATCGTGACTTTCTAATCTGTCTTTTTCTGTATATATACAAATTGAATGCCTATTAAACATATTTTTTAAATGTTTTCCTGAGAATTCAAATGGTGGATTTTCGGGAACATTTCATAAAAAATTATTGTGGACATACATTGTTCAGTTTTAAAAATAATTTTTCAATGACCTTGTCAGCAGGTCAAAAAATCTTGGATATCTTAAAAAAAAAAAATTCAAGATTTTTTTATATACAAGTCGAATACCTTATTTTAACGAAAAAAAAGTATATTTATTAAACGTCTCATTTTTCTGTGATCGTAGGCTAAACAGTAATTACGAGTTTCAATGAAAGAATCTGAAACATTTATTAGAGCAATAAATCTGGATTATTAGCCCATTTTGTAAAAGGCTTTCAGGGTCTTGTTGTCAGATCTGTGATAATCAGAATTCTAAATTTCAAATTTAATAGATTTTTTCGTCAGAATTATCAAAGTTTTAATTTAAGTTTTTTTTTTTTTTTTTTTTGAAAAATGGCGTCTACTCACACCCCTCACTTCACTTCAAAAGTTCTAGATTGCTTCAATTATCAGCCAGTCATTATCTCGTGTAATTTTTGTATATATTGAGATATTTAAAACGAAAATCCACAAAGAACACCACCCATTATCAAAAAAAAAATATTTTCACTTCAATTGTGGTATTTATGAAAGTGCTTCGTACAACTATCATCACTGATTGATGCTTGTCAGTCAATCAGCATACCAATTACGAAACGGATGAACCGGATGATTGGCACTCTTGTGTTTCCGTCATAAAAATCAGATTTCAGCGCACCAACCCTTGTCATGCAATGCGATGGTGTGTCTTCAATTAAGAATTTGCCAAAAATTTGTCTTCAACATCAGTAGGCATGGCTTTTCTCTTTCTTTCTTTTTTTTGATATTTCAATACAAATTTCAAACGGAAACCGACAGGCAGACAAACAAACGAACGTACAGACGATTGTTTGAATTTCCTATTGTGAATCTGGTGAAAAATGTCAAATGAGCCCAACCACTGTTTTCTCCTGTATTGATTTGCAACATTTGTCAATGACAGATCGAATTTTCTGGTTTACATTGAATGCATTCTTTTGTTGCTTAGCTACCAAACAGTTGCCAGCCAGCCAGCCCAGCAGGATGTTGACAAATATCACAATAATTTACGACTTTAAATGAATGGCTTTAACGAATGTTTTCAGATATGAGGCAGTCCGTGAATAGTAAGCATAGTGAGAAATGTAAATTATATAGAAATAGAACACGTTGTATTTATAAAGGTTTTCTTAGGCTAATGGGAGGGTACTAAACATTTCGGCCCAGCAAAAGTATTTAAAAATATTTTCAAAAACAACAGTAGTAAATATTTTATACCGAGTTTTTTAAAGCGATTTATTTAAGTTATTCCCAAGGTCTATTAGACAGTCATATTTCATCCAAAGATTTTGGAAACCTAAACGTAGATTTTTCATATATATTTTTTAAGGACTATCCGAACCTATATCGTAGATTTTTTTTTTCAAAAAAATATTGTTTCTAGGACAGTCCGTGAATAGTAAGCATAGTGAGAAATGTAAATTATATAGAAATAGAACACGTTATATTTATAAAGGTTTTCTTAGGCTAATGGGAGGATACTAAACATTTCGGCCCAGCAAAAATATTTTAAAAATATTTTTGAAACAACAGTAGTAAACATTTTATACCGATTTTTTTAAACCGATTTCTTTAAGTTATTCCCAAGATCTATTAGACAGTCAGATTTCATCCAAAGATTTTGGGAACCTAAACGTAGATTTTTCATGTATATATATATTAAGGACTATCCGAACCTATATCGTTGATTTTTTTTCAACAAAATATTGTTTCTAGGACAACCCAATTTTCTAAAATAGTTTTTAAGAAGTACCGGAACAATAACCGTTCAAGGTCTTTCAGAATATTTTGCAGACAATATCAGATTCATTTAAAGAATAGATTCAATGCATATTCTTCAATACCAATCCGATATCGAGGTTTTTGGAGTATATGTTCTCAATGAGTAACGCATACAGTCTATAAATCTCTGTTTTTTGGCGAGTATGAGTTAGGTTTTCGGATATATGTATATTTTAAAGCATACGGAGTCAAATGAAAAATCTGCAACCAACTTCAGACTGCTGTCATTTCCAAGCCACTCGTCCGACAGCTGTTAAAATTATTCCAGTGATAGCTCATTATATTCTTTACAAGCGTACAAAAGCATTTTATCGAAAATTTCCCATAAAAAAGTTATTCGTGGTGGAATTCAAGCGTGGCAGTGTGATTTCTTTATATTTGAGTTGCTTCGCTTGGTCGAAAGTGGTGAACTGCCGAATTTGCTTTTCTCCGATGAGAAAACATTCGTTGTCCAGCAGTTTGTAAACAAACAAAATGATCGTGTTTACTTAGCAAAGAGGTCAGCTGAAAATGTGCACATTCGGCTTGCTACCAGAACTCAAAAGCCGGCCATGGTGATGGTGTGGGCCGCCATAACAGCCGATGGTCGCTCTCCGCTCGTATTAATCGACCGTCGCATCAGAATAAATGCCGAATATTATCGCGAAAATATTCTGGAGGGTGTATTAAAGCCTTGGGCACGCAAACATTTCGGCCGCAGATCTTGGACGTTCCAACAGGACTCAACACGATCGCACTCTGCTCGCGCCACCCAAGAATGGTTAGAAAGTGAGGTTCCTCGCTTCATTTCCAGCGCACAGTGACCACCAAAATCTTCAGATACCAATCCGTTGGACTATTGTGTCTGGAGTATTTTGGAAAGAAAGGTTGGCACTGAAGTATACTGAAGTGTTGATCACCTCAAGCAAGCGCTTTGCCGGGAATGGGCCAAAATACCGCAGAGCAACATTCAAGCAGAGTGAAACGGCCGTTTGAAAGCCATAATTCGTGCCAAAGGTGACCAATTCGAACAAATCTAAACTTATTCTAAAATTTGATGCTATTTCAGACATTTTTTGCTTTCATTCAATAAAATTTAAAAAAAAATGTAAAAATTAGGGCGTTTGACTTTGTTATAGTTTTTTTTTTATCTCACACTGTATAACGTAGATGATCTTTAAAATATTCTTGTATCTCTAGATCTGACAAAATATATTTAAAGGTCTACGATTGTGTCTCAAATGGTCCTTAAACAATTTTCTTAAAATACCGTGATAATAGCATTCTTTATAAATCCATGAATACAACTTTGACAGTCCTAGAAATAATATTCCTAATGCTTCCGTTTTTATCTCTAATAGTCCTTGTATAGGCCTTGTAAAAGTATGTTAAATATGAAGGAGTAAAGCGACGATATCTTTAAAAAAATATAGATGTAATCATATTCCTTGAAATAACTGTTTTAAAAATAAATTTAAATTTATCTCGTATAGTCCTTGAAAAATATTCCAAAATCTCGCAATTATAATATGAATTATTTGAAAAATATTTTTAATGATTTTCAGAACTGCAATTGTGAAATTTTCTCTCAGAGCTTTTATGGTTGCAAAAAATCATCAAATAAGCTCCACCACAACATGCCAATCAATTTCCAAATCATGTGAAATCCTCCATATAATAATATATATATATTTCGTCACTCCCACATATATGTACATACATGCACACACACACACACACACACATGTGGGAGTGTTTCGAATGTTTTAAAAGTCCATTTGTTACAACATCGACGTCGTCTGTGCAAAGCACAGCTACAGCTAGGTAATAAAAGGCAATCTCTTCTCTTCTGTTGCTTGCTTTTTGAACTTTCATGTGTCCTTTGAAATTTATTTCGTATTTATATGTATGAGTATGCCATGGAAACTTTGAGTGCTGTACACACATGTATCCATAGAAAAACTTCAAGCACGCTCATGGAATGATTAAATGAAGCCAACATCAGTTTATGATGACTTTTTCGATTCAAACTATAAATCAAAGTTAAGCAACAACCAACACACAAACAAAAATAAATCTTAAAACATGTATACATGAAATTTTCAAAGATCAAAAATTTTAAAAATTTTCTTTTGTACTCACAGTATATCTCCAGTGAAAGCTATGTGCTCGGTGAATCTCCTTCTCCAATGGGTGAGGCTATATTGCTATCGGATGTTGACAACGGCCGGCATATACCCAATTTCGTAAGGCCCAATGGCATGCCCTTGAGTATGGCTACCGCTTCGTCCAAGTCCAAACCCTGCAGACTGTGCTCGCCCACGCTGACCAAACGATCACCGGGAAATATGTCGTTTGTGGCCTCAGCGGAGCCACCTCTGATAAGACCTCGTATGACTATAACACTGCCATCTGGATCTAAGGGATCTTGATAGTCCAATATGGAGAAGCCGAAACCCTGTTCGGTTTTCTCAATTTCAACTATGGTCACATCTGAGCTCCATAGCGCTAGGCCCGATACATTTTCTAATGATTTTGAACGTTGCTGATCCGTTAGCGTGGCAGTGCTAGAGGTATACAAAGAACTCTCCGACTGAGCTTTGCTCATGAGATTCTGCAGGCTCTGATGGCCACCGGGCAGAAGGCTGCGCGTCTCGAAGGCCTCCGGATTTTGTGATGTATTTATGATAGAGGGTGCGGTTGGACCGCGGGCACACACCAGTTTGACATGTGAAGGCAGTTCTTTGAGTATTTTTACCACTTCGGTATGTTTGAGACCCTGCAAACGATATTCGTTAACCTGCAACAATTCATCGCCTGGTTTCAGGATGCCCTGACGGCCGACGGGTCCATCTTCCAGTATCGAACGTATATAGTGATGGGGACGTTTCTCGATGCCGCACTCAACGTCGACGGTGCCCTCAAGGCTAATTCCTAGACCTGAAAGTTTATTTATTTCGGCAACTATAATTTCACAGTCGGGAAACTCACTTTTCCATGAAACTTTCAGCGAATCCGCACTGGGACTGGAATGTTCTAGGGGGACAGGGGACTGGGACGGGGCATGTTGTGGCACGGTTATGGGCGATGATAGTTTACGTATGGGTAGATCACTAGGTGGTGTTTGTTTTGTCTTTTGTTTGTTGTCTTTGCTGCTCGGGGTGGGAGTGGGGGTAGCAACGATTTCAGCAACATTTTCTATTGTCGGTGTTCGGGAACCCAATGAACCGTTGAGTTGTTTCGTTTTTGTTTGGTTCGCATGATCCGGAGATGTTATGACACAGGCCTTGCCATTGGCCAGAGGTTGTTTGTTGTTGTCTGGCGTTGTGGGTGTTCTTGAGGAACGACTCAAATTATCTGCTGCCGCCATGGTGCCGGCAAAGCTATGCTCACTCTTGTCCAGCATGTGGGACATTTGTGAATCCACTGTTTCTCTGGAGGGTAATTCACCGTAATCCAATGCACTTGTGCCTCCAACCACTCCACCCTCCGTGGCAATGGAATCCACATCCGATTTAGGTGGCAGCCATGACAAGGTGGCTATTGAGGGCGATGGTGGCAGCGAGTATTGGGATTGGGTGTCCATGGAGGCTTTTAGTTCGGTCAGTGCCACCTGCAAATGTTCGTATTTTCGCCCTCTCAAGAAACGTTCCAACGTGAGATGGACTTCAATGTCCGTGTTGCGCAGCATTTCCACTGCCTGATGATTTGTACAGCCCGCCAAAGTTTTTCCATCGACGGCAACTATGCGATCATTGATTTGTATTTGCCCGCTCATTTCGGCAGCGCTGCCCTCAATGATGCTCTTCACAAAAATACCCGACAAATCCTCCTCTTCACAGACATAGCCGGCCACGGTGATGCCAAGGCCATAGACGTTTTTGCAAAGCTTAACATGATAGGTTTCGGTTTCCGGTGAGTCCATGTAGTTCGAGGACGTTATTGAACAACATTCATCGGGATCGTTAGATGAGGTGCCAGTTGTAGTTATACCAGCTATCACAGTCTCTATGTGGTCCATATGTAGTGGTGGTGGTGTTGATTTCGTTTTCAATGACGATTGAGAATGTATTGTGGGTGGAGGAGGTATGGGTCCCACATCTGGGGGCGAGAGAGAGCTTAGCGTCTTGCCAGCCGCTCCCGACATTGGGGGTGGTGAAACAATGGAAAATGGTATGATATCTAAATCTTTAGGGCACATGCGGGCCGCTGAGCTATTTGTCAACTCCTTGGGTATGGGTGGTAGGGGGAGGTCGGCCAATTCGGTGTCCGGTGTGGCAGGATAATAGGCACTTGCCCCCAGTGTTTCGGTGGCGGTTACACCCTCCAGCATCATAGCTGCACCTCCAACTGCCCCGCCACCGGCCACCAATGAGGCCGCTGCCAGGGCCGCCTCCGAACTTGTTGGCAAACCGGGATTATGAAATAAATGTCGAGACAATTCTTCTGGGTCGGAAAGGAGCTTAGTTGGAATAATTGGGGCATGACTAGCTAAATGTTGGAAATCGGTGGCTGTTGACTCCACCGGTCTTGCGACAATCAAACGAACCTGAGCTCCAGTCTGACGAAGAACTGTCGCCACTTGTTCCGAACTGAAACCACGTAAATTCACATCACCGATTTGCAGGACATGATCTCCGCATTGCAGGCGGCCATCACGCTCAGCCACGCCGCCGGGCGTCAGGGCTTTGATAACTACGCCAGTGCTGCGGCCACCCACCAGAATAAACCCCAAACCATTGCCATCATTGTAGAGATCAATCACTTCGACCTGGGACCATTCGGTGCTCAAAACCATATTGGCATAGAAGGGTTCCGGCGAGCCGTTATGAGCTTCGTCGTCGATATCCTCCTCAGTGTTTTCTGCGTTGTTGGCCTCCGAAAGATGATGGATTTGATGTTGTTGTAGAAATTGAGGTCGTACTGACAAATGTGTTTTATTACAGTTGTGCGGTTGCTGTTGCTGTTGGCCGTGACAATGTTTAGTGTGGGCAGGACATGTTGAAACATGACGTGTACAAATCAAAGTATTTGGGGTAGGCGTTGCTAACGATGATGTCGACGACGTTGATGATGAGGACGATGCTGTTGCCGTTGATGAGATTTTCTTGGAATCGCGGCATACAAACTCCTCCGCTTGATGTTGATGATAATGGTCGTGGCAATGATGATAGTGTTGATGTTTCTGTTGTTGCTGCTGAGGCTGCGGCAGATGATGAAAATGATGCAGCTGTTGCTGTTGCTGCGGCTGCTGCTGCGTATGTGTATGATGATGATGGGTATGATGATGAGTTGCCTGTTCCTGATGTTCCCTTTGCTGGTGGCGGTTTTGTTGTGGGCTCTGTATTTTCTGTTGATAAATTTTACGTCATATATCACCACATTCCCGACTTACTGGACAATCCTTGACATCCTTTGGATGTGTTGTTGCTCGTATTATTTGATTTCCGCTTATTTTGATTTGGGGGCGTTTAACAAACTGATTACTGTCACTAATGTCACCGTGGCTGGCAACACTTTTCAAATTGTGCCCCTTATGATTGCTATTGTTGTTGTTGTTGTTGTTATTGGTTATGTCAAATTTGTTTAAATTTTTCGTCCTGTCGTCTTCGGAATCCTCAACTTCTACTACGTCTGCTGCTGCTGTTGCCGTTGTCTTTGGCCAATATTCAACAGACATAATAATTGTTTTCGTTTCAGGGCATAAATGTGTCGTTGCTGGTCGTCTGCTGCTGTTGGTGGTTTGCCCGCTGCACACTTTTGGAGTTGATGTTTCCTAACGCTTTTAATTTGTTACGCCCTTTTTAACAAATGTTTAGCAACGGCCTGTTTCAACTTGGAAGGGGGCCAAAATGTTCTTCATTTCATTTTGCTGTCTGTTCTGCATATTAAAGACAGCCAAGGCAATACGGACGACTATGGTTGGGATGTTGGGTATTTAGAAGGGATAAAAGGAGATGGGGGACTCGTAACCGACAGGTGTTGCTTGCTACCGTGGCTGTTAGCTGCTTTTTTAACCTTTATTCGTAATAAACAAACACCAGCACGTTGTTTTGCCTTTTTCGCAATTCCTATCACATACATCAACTGCTTGTGATCCCGCTGCCTTGTTTTTTCGTTTGTTGAAATCTTTCAATGTCTGCTCACTGGGGCGATAAGGTCTTGCCCCATATTTTTCTGCATTCCGTTGTGAGAAAAAAAATGTATTTAACAAATTTTCAAGTGAGCACGTCGCCTTATGTCATTTGCCGTATTATATTCCGGGAGGGGAACGAAGGGTTTGCAGGGGATTCAACATGTTTATTACATTTCCAAAAAAAAAACATATTTCCAGTCAAGCATATTTACGCATCTAAATGAGGGGAGAAAAAGAACAAGAAGAAGAAAAAATGTTTTTTTAGAAATCACGTTTGTTGGTGGCAAGATTAAAGAAAACCGAGAAAAATGAAGGCCGTTTTGTTGGTAGTGTTTTTTTTATCTATCATTTAAGTTGTTGTTTGCTTTTATTTTAATTGACCACGTCGGTTAACCATGAAAATTGTTTAGTATTAATGAAAGTTAACAGTTGTTTTCAATTAAAAGTTGTTTGAGATAATTTCAATATTAAAATGCATAAAAAACAAACGTAAAGTTATAGTTTTTTAGGGCAAGGTACTGCAATTAAAAAATAAGTTTTAGGGACTACATTTACAGAACTTAGGATAATTTGAAATTAATATGAAATGTAAAATATGTCTTTTCTATTAATATCTTAGATGTTGTGGGATAGAATTTTCATCATTAGTAGTGAGGACTGAGGTTTGAAAATAAAGAGATTACGTGTGTCTGGTTACCCTAAAATTTGTAAAAATTAGTACAAGTTGTTACTGGAAGTCGTCTGTTAACTCGAAAGTTCTGCAAAAGAGAGCGGTTCAGAGAGAAATTTTGACAGTTCTTTCAGTGAGAGTTTGCAAATTCTTGCTGGACAAATTCCTTCTTGCAATCTCTTGCAACTCTTCTTCTTCTCATTCATCGATATTTAATCAGATGTTTTCTTTTGTTTGTTTATTTCTTTTTTGGCATTCAATTCCAAAATATTGTTTTGGAATAAGCTAAACTAATTGTTTTTGAAGAATATCTTAACAAAATGTTAAAAACATAAATATTAATATGTAATAAGGAAATAAAAGAGTATTTCCAACATTTTTAGACAAACGCCATTAGCAGCAGGTTTAAAGGATTCCGGGGAACACATCAAATCTATTTTTCTTTTATTGCTCATATTTTTTTTTATTGCCAATGTTCTTTTCATTTATAAAACTTGTAAAATTGGTGGTGCTTCCTTTATTTTAATTCTTTTAATGGAGGACAAATTGGTTTGTTTTGACAAATCAGCTGAATAGTTGCAAGCTTCTGCAGAAACACCGTCTGTTTACTTTTCGCAATTTCCTTGCAAAAGAGAATAAAACTACCTTACTCTCTCAGAAAGATGTTGCTGGACAATTCCTGCAGGAACAGTAACCAGACACACCTAATACCGTCTATTTACTTTTCGCCTTTTCCTTGCAAAAGAGAATAAAACTACCTTACTCTCTCAGAAAGAAGTTGCTGGACAATTCTTGCTGGAAAAGTGACCAAACACACCTATTGTTGTCTTCAGAAAAAAGTGAACAAAAATGTCGGCCGGGACGAAGTTGTTTTTACCCTTAAATTAATCACCCTTTGCATGATTTTCTCTATTTTAAATTAATGGAAATATAGTAAACAACATTTTTGCATGTACTTATAAACAAAAAAAACTGAACAATTATGTATTCTTTCGTACGGTATTCTCAAAATTAAAACCTCACTTTTTAAAATTTGCCCTAAATAATAGCATAAACGAATGTTGCTAATCTTTCATCGAACTTTTTATACTCTATACCACATAGCGGTAAGGGTATTATGTCTTTGTACAAGGTTACCCATATTAGACGGACCCATCTGGCAACGCCATAACTTTTGACAGAGATGTCACATCGCTTAATGACATACCGTGTTTGAAGCGTCAGTCCAAGCAGATTTTTACCATGAACCAATATACGACACGCGAGCGCTCTGAAATAGTTGAAATTTACAAGAACTCAATTGAGAAAACTCAACGTTCTTTTAAAACATTAAAAAATGTGAGAAGTACGCCTTCTAAGAACACCATTAAGCGTTTATACGAAAAATTTTCGACTGGTAAGGCTCTTTCTAATCCGAAGAGGCCACATAAAAGTCGACCAAGGCGATCAGCCGAGAATATCGCTGCCGTACGAGCCAGTGTTGAGAGGTCCCCAAGAACATCCCAAAAACGCCGTTCTCAGTTCTCAGCAGTTGCGCATGGCTCGGTCCACTTTACAACGGATTATTCGCATTGATTTGCATTTGTTTCCGTACAAAATTCAATTGACGCAAAGAATGTTGCCTGCGGACAAGCCTCGTCGATTGGAATGGGCCCAAAGGGCCCAAAGGTCCGTCGAATATGGGCAACCCTGTACATTTGTTTGTAACACGGAGAAGGAAGCGAGATAGACCCATAGTTACTTCTGAGGATCTTCATAGAATCACTTTCTGAGTCGATTTATGCATGTCAATCCGTCCGTCTGTCTGTTCATATATTTTTGTAAACAAAATACAGGTCGCATTTATTATCCGATTGTGACGAAATTTTCCAAACAATTTTTGTTTGGCCCAAGGACGAACCCTATTGAAATTGGTGAGAGTCGGTACTGATATAACTATAGCCCCAATATACAAGGTGAAATAAAAAACTACAAAAATTTTAATGAATGAGAACGAAAAATGTTGGAAATAGCTTTAATTTTAGAATAAGTTTAGACTTCAAACGGCCAATGAAACCCACGCTGTCCGAATGTTGCTCTGCGGTATTTTGGCCCATTCCCGGCGAAGCGCTTGCATGAGGTGATCAACACTTTGATATTTTTTAGTGCCGACCTTGCTTTCCAAAATACTCCAGACACAATAGTTCAACGGAGTGGTATCCGGAGATTTTGGTGGCCATTGTGCGCTGGAAATGAAGCGAGGAACCTCATTTGTAACCATTCTTGGGTGGCGCGTGCTGAGTGCGATGGTGCTGAGTCCTATTGGAATGTCCAAGGTCGGCGGTCAAACTGTTTGCGTGCCCAAAGCTTTAATACACCCTCTAGAATATTTTCGCTATAATATTCCGCATTTATCCTTATGCCACGGTCAATTAATACGAGCGGAGAGCGACCATCGGCTGTTATGGCGGCCCACACAATCACCATGGACGGCGTTTGAGTTCTGGTGGCCCACCGAAGGTGCACACTTTCAACTGACCTCTTTGACAAGTAAACACGATAATTTTGTTTGTTTACAAACTGCTGGACAACGAAAGTTTTCTCGTCGGAGAAAACCAAATTCGGCAGTGTAAGTTCTCGTTCTTGTTGGAATATCAATGGCTTTACCCCGAGCTCTTTTTTCAATATTAGCCGAATGAAATATTGCGATATGTTCAACTCACGAGCCATTTTTCGGCCACTGCGACGCGGCTTCCGATCAAGTCGCTTCTTTACTTTTATATATTCAGACGAGTGGCTTAGAAATGACAGCAGTCTGAAGTTTGTTGCAGTTTTTCCATCTCACCCTGTACAAGTTTCCTCCCATTTGATGTTTAAGTCCCTCACATTCGTAATATGCACTCCACAAGAATTTGGTATCAGATATAGCCCAGATATACCTATAGCTCCCATATATATGTTTCATCTGATTTGGTGTTAAAGTCCCTCGCATGCGTAATATGCACTCCACAATAATGATATTTAATACCGGACATAAGATACAGCTCGAAAATACATCTGCTAAATTTTTATCGAGATCGGTTCAGATTTTTGTATACCTTCGATTTACATCTTGATCCGATTATGCGGTTTTTATCCACCATATATTTAATATCAGACCAAACTGGATAGAATTTTGGTGTAGGGTGTCATATAGTCGGCCCGCCTGACTTTTGACCTTTCCTTGCTGGTTTTTATTTTACTTTTTGAGCAAAAAAACTCTAAGAAATAACAAAGCGAAATTGACAACAAAACCATTAATTTATTTGAACTGCAATAAGTATCGGATTCCAAACTTCAAAATACTTTTACTGTGCATTTGTTTATTATGCCCTCCACCATACTATTATATTTGTCATATTAATTTTGTCATTCCGTTTATAACTCCTCGAAATACTCATATCAGACCCAAAAAAGTATATATATTCTTGATCAGCGTAAAATGATTTAGCCATGTCCGTCTGTCTGTCTGTGTGTCTGTCTGTCCGTCTGTCTGTCTGTTGTATCTATCTTTCGAACAAATTGAGAAAGAAGGCTAAAATGTTGCACACATTTATATTTTCCCAGTAGGCAGGTTAAGTTCGTAAATGGGCCATGTAGGTCCAAGTTATCATATAGCCCCCATATAACGGTACCTCCCGATATTCGGTATTTTGATGCTTTTAGCGACATTATTCACCGGAATTGTTTCGAATTTGGCATTTGAAGTTCGTAATGGATACTACATCCTAAGTCAAAAAATTAACCATGTAACCACGTTTTCATATAGCCTCCATATAACGGTACCCCCGATATTCGGTATTTTGATGATTATAGCGACATTATTTAACGGAATCGTTCCAAATTTGGTATTTGAAGTTCATAATTGTTTCAAATTTCGCATGTGAAGTTCGTAATAGATACTTCATCCCATGCCAGAAAATTGTCTGTGCAGGTACACGTCTTCGTATAGCCCCCATATAACAGTACCCCCTATATTCGGTATTTTGATGATTTTAGCTACATTATAAACAGATTTTTCTTCAAGTTTCGCATTTAAATATTGTAATAACTTATGACAAAAGTTGCCTATGCAGGTCCACGTCGTCGTATAGGCATTCGGTATTTTTATTTTTTTTAACAGAATTTTTAACGGATATAATTTATTTTTTTTTTTTTTTATTGGAAATTGCCAAATTTGTGCCAAATGTTGGAGGGTATTAAAAGCTCTGCCCGGCCGAACTTACAGCTTTTTTACTTGTTGATAATTATTTTTTTAATGTAAGACATATTAGTAATACTTTCTCACACGATAAACTTAAGGCGAAATTGTGTAAATTTCCATCACAATGAAAAGAATGGTTATATCATTCGACAGAAAAAGTGGGCACGGAAAAAAAACCCGATCGATATGGCTATATGAGGCTTCAATTCAAAAATTACTTTACTGAAACATTTATATAGAAGGGATTTCTACTAAAAATTTTAAATTTGTTAACATTTAGCGTAATGGGAGTCTCATACCAATATGAGGACTTATATTGATTTTTTTAAAGAAAGTTTTATCCACATAAATATAAAAATTAAGAATAATTTAAGTACCCGTAACAAATAAACATTTATATTGGATATATTGGTATGATAACTATTACATAGACTGATAAACAGAAGGATTGACAGACGGACATGTATAAATCGACTCAGAATGTGATTCGCTTCCTTCTTCGTGTAACAAACAAATGCACAAAGACTTAATACCCTGACCACAGTGTAGTGTATGTTATAAAAAGGTTTTTAAAACATTATAGGGGGCTTTTATAAAAAAATAAAATTGAACGCGTATATGAGGATTATGCCTCAATCTACATATGCCAATTTCCAAAGTCAGAAAAGAAGATATTATGATTTAAAGAATATTTTAACGAAATGGAACGATTTTCCCAATACCTCTGAAGTTTTGGTCGGTAATCCGACAGGTATATACCTTCAGAAGTTGATAATTTATTTACGCATAACCTTATTGGTGGATGCACCATTTATATTGAACCTACATATCACACCTAATCTAATGTTAGCACAAATATTAAAAAAAAACTAGAAGAAAATCGGTTATTGATTTCCCACTTTAAGGGAGTTATTACAATTCAAAAGGGGATGAATACAACTCAAAATAATTTTTAAATGTTCGATTGCCACCTTATTATAATTGAGAAAATAGCTTTATATCTCTGTTTGATACTCCTGTAGCTGACATATGACATGTTTTTTATCAAATCGAATCAGAAAACGTTTTGCCAAGCATCTTATCCTCCTGATTATAATCCCTCAATACTCCTTTCGTCCACTGGAATAAGCCGGAATAAAAATTCCTTGAGATGAAATTGTTGTACAGTGTAAATAATTTACCCTACATTGTATAGTATAGAAAACAAAATGCTTAATCATCTTTGATGAGTTTTCTCCTTTTATATACACTGACTAAAACTTTTTGTTCGAATGTCTATGTTCCCCAAAAACAGCATAATTTTCAAAATATTGAAGCCGCCTCACATCAATTAACAACCTCACACAACATCACTTTAATTTATAAAATTCACACACCAATTTTTTTCGCTTTTGCTAAGATTCGATGAATCTTCTTTAATTTTCACTTATCACGGGGGTATTAATTTCAACGTCGCATGCTTCACCCCCACTTCGCCATCGAAGAGGTTATAAAAAATGTTTCAACATTAATTAGTTTTGTGGTAGAATGATTTTAAGGTTGTTTATTTGTCACCGGTGCGGTTGTTGTTGTTGTTGTTACTGACACCGTTACCAAACTCCCCTGCTGTGTTTACAAACAACCAAACAGCAAACAAAGGAGTGATGTGTGCAAATTTGGAGGCGTTGTCTTGGCGTCTGACTTTCCGGCACAAAGATATACACACATACCTACACATATCAGAGTGGCAAATTGTCAATGACGACGACAAGCAACTGTTGTTAATGCTGGCGTTGATATTAAGGATAATGATGGTGATGTTGCCGGTTTTATGCTGTTACTGCTGCTAACGCTGCTGCTGCTAATGTTACGGCCATGACTGTTACCATTACTGATAATGGAGTTAATAAGTATCTTGACAATTTGTTTTAATGGCATAAGTCAATGTGAATTTGCAGCAGAGTTTGGTTGTATTATTTGGTTTTCTTTTTTTTAACTTTTGTTTGAAGAAAAATGGAAATTAACAAAGTTTGTTTTTGTTGTTTTTTATGGCATCAAAGATATACTGTCAAGAACATTTACATGGAGTTCAATCTAATCAAAGGCGTAAGGTTCCCCCACATGTAGAGAGATATATAACAGAATTGTCACTTGCATACATCAACATGTGTATGTGTGTATTTATTTATGTACATTTGTACTCATCGCTTCTTTCCTTTTTATACCATCCTTCTCTTTCCATATAATGGAGGATGTGTTAAGATTGTTACTCCGGTTGTAACTTAAAGGAGAAAAGCCTTTTACGACTGCATGATATACATTTATCCGAGCTCAGATTTGCTAATTGTTACTAGCCAGAGAAACTTGCTAGCGAGCGGGAATGATTAGTTTCGTATAAAAGTCGCTATGAATGCGACAACTAACATTCCATTAATTTGTTTTATGTGGAAGTAGTCGCAAGTTACTCCTGTTTGAAAAATTACAGTCGAAGTCGGAATGCTCCAAGTTCTTAGCTTTAAGAATAAAATCAAGTGGAGCAAAATTATTTTGTTCACTGTTTTGTTTTGATGCACAAAAACAATTACATTGTCATATGTTTTGTTGATACAGATTGACGTCAATGGTTAGTGGTGTTTTTACACACTTACAAAAACTCCATGAGTAACCGGCAAGAGTAGAATATGCTCGATTTCGAGCGAATTTTATACCTTCTCGAAAATGAGAAAAGCTTGCTATCTCTTGTCGAGTTTTTCTACTCTCAGTAGTTCTCCGGCTCGAATTCAGGCGAGTTTCCTTCTGCGGCCGTTTCGACGTAGACAACTAAAATCTCGCTGATAATCATGTTGTATGATTTTGAAAGTAAGATATACCGTTCGACGTTTTGTTATAGCCCCAATATGTAGCTTCATTAGCCGATTTTTGTATTTAGAGAATTTCCTTATTTTAACAAAATTGGATATAATTTAGTATTTTGGGTTTGGAATTGAACAATAAGATCAGTAAATAAGCACCGTCCGATTGTAAATAATTTAATTCAAATCTGAAATCGGTTCATCCTGATTAAGGTATTTGAAGGTTTCGACCATATTGTATTTGGCAATAATTTAGTATTTGGGACCTAAATTCAATACGTGAACTCTTTGAAAAATCAAAACGGTACCGCCCAATTATTTTAAAGGGTTTTGACCACTTTCTGGCAGAATCACCTATTATTTGGCAATTGGAATTTTATTTGTGTGCACCAACTTCACACACAAAAGATCAAAATGGACCCACGTCTTAGAATACAGGGTGAGATAAAAAAAACTGCAACCAACTTCAGACTGCTGTCATTTCTAAGCCACTCGTCCGACAGCTGTTAAAATTATTCCAGTGACAGCTCATTATATTGTTTACAAGCGTACAAAAGCATTTTGGTGAGAATTTTTCAAAAAAAGTTTTTCGTGATGAAATTCAAGCGTGATAGTGTGATTCCTTCAATTTGACTGGAAAACCACAAGTTGCTATCGTTAGAGCACTCCAGCATTTAAATGTGAATAAATCTTTTGTGTCTCGTACCATCGCTCGTTACCGTGATAGCCCGACGTCAAAGAAGTGGACGAAAGAAAACAGCAACATCCGCAGAAATGGTTCGAAACGTAAAGAAGCGACTTGATCGAAACCCGCGTTGCAGTGGCCGAAAAATGGAGCGTGAGCCGAATATATCGCAATATTTCATTCGGCTAATATTGAAAAAAGAGCTCGGGGTAAAGCCATTGATATTCCAAAAAGTGCGAGAACTTACACCGCAACTGAAAGAAAATTAACTCAAAAGAGCTAAAGAGTTGCTTCGTTTGGCCGAAAGTGGTGAACCGAATTTGGTTTTCTTCGATGAGAAAACATTCGTTGTCCAGCAGTTTGTAAACAAACAAAATGATCGTGTTTACTTGCAAAAAGGTCAGCTGAAAATGTGCACCTTCGGTTGGCCACCAGAACTCAAGCGCCGGCCATGGTGATGGTGTGGGCCGCCATAACAGCCGATGGTCGCTCTTCGCTCGTATTAATCGTCCGGGGCATCAAAATAAATTCCGAATATTGTCGTGTATTAAAGCCTTGGCCACGCAAACATGTTGGCCGAAAACCTTGAACATTCCAACAGGACTCAACACCATCGCACTTAGCACGCGCCACCCAAGAATGATTACAAAATGAGGTTCCTTGCTTCATTTGCAGCGCACAATGGCCACCAAAATCTCCGGATACCAAACCGTTGGAATACTGTGTCTGGAGTATTTTGGAAAGCAAGATTGGTACTAAAAAATACCAAAGTTTCGATCGCCTCAAGCAAGCGCTTCCCCGGGAATGGGTCAAAATACCGTAGAGTAACATTCGAGCAACGTGTGTCGGTTTCATTGGCCGTTTGAAGGCCATAATTCGTGCCAAAGGTGACTAATTTGAACAAATCTAAACTTATTCTTAAATTTGATGCTATTTCCGACATTTTTTGCTTTCATTCAATAAAATTAAAAAATGTAAAAAGTATGGCGTTTGATTTTGTTGCAGTGTTTTATCTCACCCTGTAGACCTAGCTGATTGGTTTTCATGGTTGTTTGAAGATTTTTTGAAGTTTGAAGGGTTTAATCCCATTTTCTAAGGGAATTAGCTGTCATTTAATACGTCAATACTTAAAATATTAAATCTGCCCACATTTTGATGCCTGTCAATTTGAGGGAATTTGTAGGTTTCGGCCAGATGTGCAAAATTGTTATACTTTAGTACGTTAGCTATTTAAAAATAACAATACCATCCGAACTCCACAGTAAAAGATTGAAATCGGTCCACATTTTGAAATAGCCCAAGTTTATCGGTTCATCCCGGTTTATGGTCTATTAAAGGTTTTTGGCCTGTTTTCAAATAGAAATGGCTATGAACAAGAATTTAGGATTCTTATAGAGTGCGTCAACTTTGTGGAAAAATATCGAAATCGAAACGTATTGATATTGCCCCATATTGCAGTTCCTCTCGATTTACCTCTACCGTTTTATTTTCTCAGTGAATATTACATTAATATCGGAGAACAATGCGTGTGAAACATGTTACGACTTTTTTTTTCCTGAGTTAAGAAGCTCAGCAATCGAAAATCGTATTTCGACGTAATTTCCCCACGTTGAAGGGTATCAAAAGTTCGACGCATTCGAACTTAATGCCATTTTTACTTGTTTGCTTTATGTAGGTCGAACTCTATTGTTAATGATATGGTTTTATTGTTGCTTTTGTATTGCTGATTTTATTCCTTTGCCGTTTTTGTCCATTCTCCTCCCTGCACTGCATGGTTATGGATAAGAGCTTCTATCGCATTTTTATGTTTGGCCTAGAACTTGCACCAGCTGATCCAACAAAAGTTGTTGGTTGGCATCGATACCATACTGGCTGGCATTAATATTGATTATTGCATGGCAAAAACTTCCATGCTTCGTTGGCTTTAATCATTTGATTTTACCCGTTTTTTTTTTCTTCCTTGGCAACAGTTAAATGTTAAGCATATTTTCCACTAGAAATGTACTTATTCTGTATTTTTTGTTTCATTTCCGTTTCTTGAGTTAAATTTCCGCCACAACACAGTCAAAAAGTAATTTCTTGGAACGAACGAATAGGACAGACGACGAACGTTGTACGTACGAACAAGTCGGCATAAGTGTGTCCTTAATAGGCTACAACGAACAACGTTAGGCTGTGTATAATTCGCGTTGGCTTTAATCAATCATTTAAGTCACGCACACTTTATTGCATAGAGACACACACACACACATCCACATAGTTATATACAGGACAAGGAAGAAGTTCACACAAACACAGTCACGCACATACACGACCACGATGAACATGCGACGACGTCGACGAGGACAACAACGATGTGTAGAACGCACTTACACACATTTACACAGACTGAGTTGTGAATGACATTAATGTACAAGGAGAACAGTAGAACCGTTATATGAGCATTCGTTTACCTTTGACCCCATATCACCAAGGCACAGAAAACACTCTCTGGCTTATGGGCGACCGAAACGAATGAACGAGCATGCGACCAAACAAACGACCGACCGACCGACACACCAACCGCCCGACCAACCAAGCAACCGTATAACCGAAAGTAAATTCCTTTTAAAAGGGTGTGTGCATGCACGTATGTATGTATGCATGTATATGTCTGGCTATATGTGTGTATGCGTATAGTGATTTTTAGTTGAGCTACTAACGACTTGTTTTATTTATACTCCTCTTTACTTCTTGGCACAACCGACGTGGCCACTTTAATTAGCCCTTTTTCCAGCACTGACAGATTTCATTTACAACAACAACAACATCAACAGTAGTAGCAGCAGGGACAACAACACCAACAAACATGGCTTACATTTAGCAAATATTGATTTAACAAAATTGGCCAACTTTTTTCTCGATTCCCTTCCGTAATAGAATGGACAAAAAAAGTTTCACTCACTTTGGCTTAATTTAGAGTAAACCCATTTACGAAAATTTCTTTTTCAACACTCTATCATCTTTGATTTCTTTACACAGGCCCTTTTTTATTTAATTAAAATTTTAATTCAGATCTCTTTTGAATTTAAGCACTTTATCTCTCAAAACTTATTTTCTTTCTATTTTTTGCCTGAATTTTGAGGCTTTCTAGCCAGGCAACTTTTCAATTTACTTTAATTTCCTTTCACATTTTTGTTTGCACTTTCTTTATAAGGCAGCGGCTTTGCCTTATGTTTTTGCACTCGCGTTTTTTATATCAACTCTTTAAAACGACGCCGCGGTCCTTCTAAACGACGAAATTCATTTGTCGGCCCATTTTTGTTTCGTTTTCGACATCAATTACGCGCGCTTTAATTTACTCTTTCACTCTCGTGGCAAGCGGTTTAAGGGAAATTACACAGAAATTCAATTTTGTGTTTTAGCTGTTATTTTTTCATTCCTTTTTCAAAAATAATATTCATATTTTTTTCTTCTTCTAATATTCTCCTCTTAAAACTCAGGCTTGCCTAACGCAACAAAGTAACACCCGCACGTTACGAAGTCTCTTTACCGTTTAACAACAAATTTCGAAATTTTTTGGCATCGTTGTTTCAACTTGCATGCATAGTCGTTCGCTCTCTTACTCTCAGATGAGACATTTTAGAAGTGTAACGGTATTTTACTCACAACACAACATAACATCACACAAACATTTACACACACTGTAATTATGTTGTTGAAAGTTGTTGCTTTTCATCGCAACTTGCATTCGTACTCATTCTCTTCTCATAATTTTTTATTAGACTCTGTTGCTTTTCAGTTCCATCACTTCATAGGGCGCCGAAGCGTTTTCTGTCAAAAAAATCCCAAAACAACAACACTTCAATTTGTTTTCCCTCATTTTATTTACATGTGAAGTTGGTTGCAGTTGATTGTCGAAAGCTTTCGGGCCTATAGTAAAAGTTTGGCAAAAGCTTTTGATGATAGTAAAAGTTATGGTCACATGTTTCTTGTTTAAAAATCCCATTAGGAACATAATTCGTTATACATTAAGGGCTGATCACGGTGGAAAATATTGTCTAAGGTTATTGTAAAAGATGGTGAAGCAGCTTTCTCATTGAAATATAAAAAATTATTTGTTTATTTAACCCATTAAATTGT